TATAAAAAAAATTCAGAAATAGGCTTGATCTAGAAATGATTAGATGCATCAAAATACCTTTATAACCTTGCTAACATTCTATGTTAGCTTCAACAAAAGTACATATGGTGTATTCTTGTAAAATGCTTACTTCATCTTGAGTATGTTGAAATTTTTTTTCATAGAGAATGAGAAAAAAAGCAAATAGAGCCATCAGGAGTCCATGTCCAAAATCTCCAAACATAATGGCAAACAGGAAAGGAAAAGTGATAATAGTGTAGGGAGCTGGAAAAAAAAACAAAGGAGGGAGGTGTTTAACAACTGGAGAGTATAGTGCACACAAATATATATACTGTAGATCTATATATAGATAAAATATAAATAATGGCCTTTTGAATGAATAGAATGCTATTACATACTGTATATTAACCACCTACAGTTATCAGAATACATTTTTTTTCACACTTGTGACTCTTAAAGCCCAACTCCAATGTTAATTTTTATTCCAATATAGTTTACAGTGTTTAAAAAAACACAATCCCTTCAATTTGAAGTTGTTCCCCACAGTCCTTAGTCTTCCAGGTTGAATGATGCCCAGCATTTCTCAGCCAGGAGGACTAAGGACTATACTGTGAATATAGGCTGCCACGTGCCTGCTACTTTGAAGGTGTCATCACAGCACCCTTCATTCACAGTGTATTAATGTCATTACATCAGTGCTGCTTTGCATTATAGGGGACTGCCCACAGCTGGGAGAAGACTTAAGAGTAGGACCCAGCATATCTTGATGAGCCTAAAGTGAGAACTCCAGGGGGAGGGAGGGTGATTAGCTGGCAGAGGACTGAGGCTGGAGTTGGGCTTTAAACCTAATTAAAAGATCCATTTTAATTTACCTGGGTTCACTTCTCCATAAGTCCCCACTCCATAGGCATCCACAATGTTTTGAAAGCCAGAAGTGAATTTGTTTGTTCGGATTAATGTTGGAGGTGTGTCATTGGTGGGAATGCGATTGATGAAAGATGGTAGAGAAGCTCCACTTTTTCTCTGGCAGATAACAGAAGAGTGTCATGAATATTTCCAATGCAGAAGCTTATATAAATTTATTAGATGATCATTTCTAGGAAAGACATCACACCCTACCACCCAACCAGCTAGTAATAATCTCAATGTATTTTGCACTAATACACTTATCAGATTTGGTACAAACACCTTTTTGCAAATGGATAGGTATTCTCCCTTAAAAGGAGAACTATGAGCTGAGTGCTTTTCACTCTCCCCATAGTTCTAGCCGACCTGTGACAATGAGACTGTCACAGGACGGCTCAGTAGATCGGGAAGTGAGCGAACACATACCTGCGTTCGCTCACTTCTCGATCCTGTCACGGCCCTCTGCCGTGACAGGGGAGGGGCTGGATTCCCCCTTCCCCTCTCCAATCCACGAGCGCTGACAGGCGGAACGGGCTGCAGCAAACAAGCACCCCCTTCACAGCTTGTTCACACCATCCACTTCATTCATCTCACAGTTCCATGACATGAACACACTGAACCGCTTAATCAAACCCTCCCTTTGTTCTGGGGTAGGAAGGGGCATGGCAGTGCCACTCATTTCAATGTCACCGCAGACACGCCTCCGGCCCACAGTGCGATTACCCGCACGAGACATGTGGTACCGCAATGCTCTGCGTTCCAGTGTGGTGCGATGGCAAAAAATAGTGCATGCACTGCGGGCTTGAGGCGTGTCTGCGGTGCCATCTCTCCATCACGCCCAAGAACACGCAGAGGGTCTTATTAATCGGTCCAGTGCGCTCATGTCCTGCAACTGTGAGATGAATGCACTGGATGGTGTGAACGGGCCCTCAACAAAAGAAAGCCCTGCCATTGATGCCAGCATAAGCACAGGGATATGATGAACCTTTACTAGTTAAAACCTTTGTGAGAGACAAGGGCCACAACAACCAAAAGAACTTACTGAGCCTTCCTCAAGTGCTTGTCTCACGTTCTGAAGATCCGTCACAGGACACCATACTTCAGCAATCAGACACTTGTTGGTGACATCAAAACTGCATAAGTTCAGCACATGATATACAGCTTTCATTTTCTTGACTTGAATAACCCACTTGAAGATGGACTCTGACGCCTTGTAGAGAACTTGTCTGAGATAATCCTCAGTTTGGGAAATCACCTAAAAGGAATATATTGAGAATATTTGAGAAATATATTAAAGCACTTGTTATACAGCCAAAATTAGTCAGTCATACTAATGCATGTTAAGATTTTTAAAACTTTAAAGAGAACATGTGCATTACCCATACAGCGAAAAACAACACCTTTACTTTGCCAATAGCTCCACCCGTTAACTGTCACTCACACGCCCTCCCCTGCTTAGGCACCCAGCACTGCATTCATGGGAGAGAGTCACATGTTCCTTCATAACTGGATTCACCTGATATTCAAATCTCTCTAGTGATGTGAACAGAGTGGCAGGAGAGCAAATGGGGAGAGTATAAGCAGCAGTGGGGTGATGGGTTAATAAGCAGCTGTTTTATTTATGCTGCTTACAACTAGTTATGTACTGCTTTACAAGAAACATGAGCATTTAAACATTACAGTAAACATTTAGGCCTTGTTCACAGCAAGCGCGTTCCAGGAGCAGAGCAGTTACAGACCGGAGCAAAACTGCGTCCAATGTATTCCAAATGGTATTTTTTAGCTCCAGTTCACATCGCAGCTTGGAGACGGCAACCCGCAGATGCAGCAGTGCCGTCCGTCCGTTTTTCTACTACGGGCGGACGGCAAGAGGTTAAAAAATGTATGCAAACGCACTCGAACACACTGAAAGCTCATTTTAAACTAAATGTTTTTGGTTTTTTTACCAAAAACGGCCCGGAACGCATCAAAAATGCGGCAAACCCCACTGCACTGCGTGTGCAGAAACTCATGCAGATCTGGTCTGCATTTGGTGTGAACAAGGCCTTAGGAGTTCATTTATAAAAGTCCATGGCATATAGCCAGGCAGCTGTTGTTCGCAGAGCACTAGTGCCCCTAGATGGAACTGATGGGTACAGGAAATTCCTATACTTTTATAAATGAACATACTCTTTCCAAATTAGCCGTTCAAGAAACTGACACATTACGCTAGTCGAATAGGGGTATGTAGATTACAATCTGCAAACAAATCATGTCAAAGAAAAGAAAAAGAGAAAAAAAAGGACTTGGAGAGGTGGGGAAAACAAGATTTAATATGCAGCAGCCTTTGGTGCTCATACTATCCAATCTGAAAAAATTAAGTTTAGCTGTATTTTCTTTTATTGCATATTAACCCTTTCGCTGCCAAGCCCTCCGGAACATTTTTCAAATCAGCTGGCCAAGCCATTTTTGAATTTTCTGCAATTTTTTCCTATTGATTTGATTTTCAACTGCTGCGTTGCTAGCGTTTGTAAAAGACCCCCCAAACCATATTACAGAGCCGCTGTCATCCAAAAACTGACAGGATGACAGCGGCTCGGATCGGAACACCGCTCGGCCATCCTGAATTGCGGCCAGCCGCCGCTCGTTCCCGGGACCCCCCCGCCGGTGATTTTTGTACGGATCCCCGCTGCCACAGACCCTACAAGCAGCGGGGATCCATGGAGTCTCTCATCCCTCCCTGGGATGGCTCCAGGGAGGGATGAGAGACTCCAGATGCCGGCAGCGGCGGGGTCGCCCGGTATTTTTGATAATAGCAGTCATCAGCGGTTTGTGAGCCGCTGATGACAGCTATTAATTTAAAGGGGACAGTCCCCTGAACAGTTCTACTATAAGCTGATGGTCGCTAAAGCCATCAGCTTATAGTAGAACTGTAAATGCCAGGTCCGTATGGCATACTGAGCTGGCCAGCTGGAAGCACTTTTGTAGGTCCGTATGCCATACGTCCTTGGCAGCGAAAGGGTTAAACAATGAATAACAGTTCACTAGTTACTGTGCAATTCCTCCATATCCAAAGTGTATGTAAACCCCAACAATAAACTTCTCTTTTTTGCTCCCTTTTGGTCTGTTGAACATCCCATTGAAAGAATTTTGTAATATTTGTTTGAGGAGTGCGAAAAATTCCTGTTGATCTTGCCAGAAATCTTGTCAGATAATAACTATCTGTCCTCTCTGCTTGTGCTGCGCTGCTATCGGTTACATTGTTCTAAGGACTACAGGATGACATTCATCTATGTCATATACAAGAGGATAGGGGGAGTTCCCACAATAGTACTGTCCTGTTTATGCTGTCCTGTTACAATAAAGTGATTTAGCATTATCACCCCAGGATTGGAAGTGTGTTATTGGCAATAATTAGTAGGTGAAAAAAAGAAAAAAAGAAAAAAACAAATGCAGCCACCACATCTAATCTGGATAATCTGGAAACTCAGCTTACCGTCTGCAAGTCTTGAATTCTTATGTTCAGTCCAGATATTATCTCTTGTCTTTCCTCAGAGGAGTTTGGGTAAGGATACATGTGGCAATGGTAACTGTAATGCAATATCCAAAAAACTGTTTTATATAAAAGGTTGCAGTAACTTAATGCATCTCCCAGCACTAAGCAATGGCTCTGACTGGAATGCGGTTCAAGAGAAATTTTAAATATGCAATGTTAATGCAATTATTTTTAAGCAAAGTTCCAAGACAACCAACAAAGCCATATAATACATATACACTAAGTGGCCAGATTATTATGACCACCTGACGTTTGTAGGCAAATTAGCTATAATTTGGCGCTGAAGTTGCTAGAGGGCCAGACCATTATAAATAGGGAAGCAGGTTGTTTACCACGACAGTAGAAGTTATTTTCTCTGAAGATATGGGGAAACAACGCGATTTAACAGCCTTTGAACGTGGGATGATTGTTGGCGCTCGGAGCCATAGAGCGAGTATCAGCAAAACAGCAGAATTCGTTAAATGTTCAAGAGCAGCTGTTGTTAAAGTGTTTAAAGACTGGACTGTCAGCCGAAAATCTGGGTCTGAACGTGCGAATTGTGGCCGTCAGCGACTAGTCAATGTTAGGGCAGAACAGAGAGTGGCGAGACTGGTACAAGACAACAGAAGGGCAACAGTGCAGTGTCAGATTCCTTGCATCACCTTTCAACATCTCGTGGAGTCACGAGGCGGCCCAACGAAGTCATCTCGTGGCCCAACGAAGTACTGATGGGGTGGTCATAATAATCTGGCCACTCAGTGTATGTTGAGGGTACATGAAAACCAAGCCGGTGCACTGCAGTGTGTTTAATATTATTTTTGGTGTTTTGGTGTCAAATTGCATTGCGTTAAGGCGGCCCATTCATTTGAATGGACTGCCAATGAACTGCAACTGCCTAAAAATCTGACATGCATCATTTTTGTGAATGCTTTACCATGCGCTGCAACACAAGTACATTCCCTTTGAGCAGGGGTAGGTAAACTTTGGCCCTCCAGCTGTGAAGCTACGAATCCAATCATGTGGTGGTCAGTCTTGCAATACCTTATGGGTCTTGTAGTTCCACAGCAGCTGAAGGGCTGAAGTTTGGCTAAACTTGCCTTAGTGCATGGAGAGGATATTAAAAATAAGCATGCATGGAGCATTAACATGCTTCGCTGTAATGGGCCCTTACCGTTTTACCTCCCAACAGGTTTCTACACTGCTAGTCTTATGGTTTATACAAATTTTCCAACTGCACACAGCCAGACAGGTAAGAGTTCATGATTAAGCAATTCAGCTTCCTACGTTACTCATCACCATCATCACCTAACTCTAGGGAGTTTGAGCTAATCTACGCAGCAGTAGCGTGGCTTGCCAAATTCCTTTTTGGCAGGTAAACATATATGCATATCAGGTGTGCATTAGGTGTTTACCAGAAGTTACAAATAAGCCATCTCCCAATGCGTGGTTATGTTAAAATCCTTGATTCTTTTGATAGAAGATTAAATAGTACATGGACCAGCCATACAAGTCCAGAATATAATTTTGTTGTAGTTTTTCTGATTAGGAGTGCTACAAAGTGATTCTGCTTTACTGCTCTTTCAAAGCAATGCAAATCTATCAGCCTTAAAAGAGACAGAGGATGATTTAGGAATGGATTTGAAAATATTCACACAGTAAAATGTGTTAAGATTCACGTCAGTTATCCAATTATGTGAAAAGAGAATCCCAGTTCACATATTTCATCTGCATATGTTGGTATTATATTATGTTGTGTGAGCATTGTCAGATTAGCCTTATGATGTCATTATGACTTCCTGTGAAATGTCTAAGTGGCGTATTATGTATACGTGTATTCGTTTTATCTCAACAATTGTTAAGCAAGAATGCTGCTTGAATTATTTCCTATACAGACAGCAAAAGATAACACTATCTCTACATTAAATCAAGAAACAGCACAGCCAGAAGTTAAAAATATCAATCTTGCACCAAACAAACTACTGTCAAGTAATCCATGCAATAGCTCAAAATGTGTATGTACCTTAATTTATAATAATTGTAAACAACCATTTGGCAGCTAGCATAATCATATACATAGCAATTGCCAATACTCCCTGCACACTAGCAATATGTCAGAGTGCCTGTGCTGTGAGCCAAGTAAGCATTGCACAATTCTGTCAGAATGTCTCCTATCAAGTTTCGGGCACTGAGGATAGAGGGAACGGTGTGTAGGTCATGTTACAGCAGGAACAATATCACAGAATCTTTACTGTAAATGATGTAGAAAACTGGGCAGAGGGATGAAAATTTCTCACCAAACAGAAAAAAGTTTTCCTGGCACACTCACAAGCCAGCATGTAAAAAAACTTGTCTCACACTAAGGTTAAAAACAGAGGTTTGGATACACGTCTTCTGCAGAAAATGTGAAAGCCGCACAGCCGCGCCAAGGCACCTCTTATAGTGCGGTCCTAAATCTAAACTATCAGAGTCTCTATCTTGGAGCACATGGGGCAGAAGATAAAATTGGGTGCAGGTTTGTCAGGAGGAAGCCCAACCTCCCTTAAAGGCACAGAGACGCACAAAGGATCCCGCACATCCCAATGGCAGCTGAGACCCCCCCATGCGTCACTGCACCAAATCAATCAAGCAAAGTGTGGGATCCATTGTGCGTATCTGTGCCTTTAAGGCGGGTTGGGCTTCCTCCTGACAAACCTGCACCCAATTTTATCTTCTGCCCCATGTGCTCCAAGATGGAGGCTCTGATAGTTTAGAGTTAGGACCGCACTATAAGAGGTGCCTTGGCGCGGCTGTGCGGCTTTCACATTTTCTGCAGAAGACGTGTATCCAAACCTCTGTTTTTAACCTTAGTGTGAGACAAGTTTTTTTTACATGCTAGCTTGTGAGTGTGCCAGGAAAACTTTTTTCTGTTTGACTGTTTAAAGCCCATTCCATGTGCACCTTGCTGTAAAGCTGGTGATGAATTGATGAGTGCATTCGTCATGTGTTTTGCTTGAAAATTTCTCACCAGTCGCAGATCTTTTTCACTTTCTGTCCAATCTGGTCTCCCCAGTAAGAAATTAGAAACACAAACCATTTTGTTGGCTCTTCCTTTAAAATGGAAAAACAAAGTAGGCATGTATCAGTATTAAGAGACACACACACACAGACACTTATTACTACATGAAAATTAGCTATTTTATATATGACAATTGACGATTGGTCCGATTAAATGGACATCAAAGATATCTACCGACTGCTGGTGATTTCTGCTTTCCACTGTTTGTTACACGGTGCCATCCGTGATTGTCACTGCGAGCACCACTACAAGTAATTGGGCCGGGAGCGCTTTGAGGAGTGCAGAGGGACTTATTATTTTCTCTGTTACTCTTAAGGCGCCTGTACATGCACGCATCAGCTTTCATTCCCTCCATTTAACCCCATATTGAACAACAAACTCCAACACATCTCACATCTGGGTACATCTTAGAGCTCGCCCTCCCCCTCCAGTCCCCCACACATCTATACATTCTGATGAGCTGCTTCACTGGCCGATTGGAAAGTATGGGAAGTCACAAGCAGGTTCCCTCACTACCAGAAAGCTCCACGGTTGTGCCCAAATTAGAAGAGTCCATAATTTGGGAATAGAAGGGGCAATGAAAATTGATGCAGGATGGCAATTGGTTGCTATGGGTTACTCCACCTAAAGCAGAGTGTAAAAATGTTAGGCACCTCTTTTGTATTCTGTACAAATATTTTTTTTTTTAAGTTCACAATCTGGAGCCATAATCTGCCAGGGTGTCAGAGCTGTACCATGGACTTACAGGATATATATGAGAAAATATTTAGAGAAGATAACAGTACAAAAGTACCCACAACTATACAGATAAAGAACAATGACAAAGCCTCACTTTGCTGCCTCAGCCCCTCTTTCAAACCTAAGAAAGGTAAATCTCTTAATCTCTTAAAGGCACTCCATTGCCAGACCATTTCATTAAATAGAAATAAAAATATTCCCATAAAATAATAACAGCACGTATTATATTTAGGAATGTCCAAAAGCCCCAAGACTGTTGCTAGGTGTTGCCATCTAGGATGTCATGACAGCAGCCCCAGTAGATTTAGAGCTGTCACTCAAGTAGCACAGTCTTACCCTATACTCCACCACCACTGATGGAGGGAGGTGAAGAGATGGGCATTGCACTGAGATGCTGAACAAGCACACAGAGTAATAAAGCCCTCCCAGAAGACATGAGGGCTATGAAGTGCAAGGGGCTGTGCTAGGAAATGACTCTGAACTTGCTAAAAAATCTGACTACTCAAGCAAAGGAACATAGCAAATGAATAAAAATCAAGTATGGAAAGAAAGAACTCACTAGCAAGAGGGTTGATTAGCCACTAAAACTACTTTACCTCCCTGCTTAACAGCTGTAAAGGTGCCCATACACTACACGATTCTCGTACGAGAAAAACAGGAAATCCCACGATCGTATGAGAATCGTGCAGTGTATGGAAGGCGTGCGACCGTTCCTACTGTTCGGCCACACGACTTTTGTATGTCGAGCATGTTGGAAAACCAGCCGAGAATCGTACGATTTTCGGCTGGTTTTTAACATGATCGCGCACACTGCCCGTTCAGCATTGCAGTCATGGGAAGCACGCCCCTCAGGGGGGCGGGCTTGCGATGATCGCAAGTACGATCTGCCTGTCCAAGATGGGCAGATCGTACGTTTTTTAAAATTACTTCACAACCCTCGCAAGACAAAAGTTTTGAGAGGGTTGTATAGTGTATAGGCACCTTAACATTCACTGAGTGGCCAGATTATTATGACCACCTGACGTTTGTAGGCAAATTAGCCATAGTTAGTTATAATTTCGCGCTGAAGTTGCTAGAGGGCCAGACCATTATAAATAGGGAAGCAGGTTGTTTACCACGACAGTAGAAGTGATTTTTTTTCTGAAAATATGGGTAAACAACGCGATTTAATAGCCTTTGAACGTGGGATGATTGTTGGAGCGAGCATCAGCAAAACAGCAGAATTTGCTAAATGTTCAAGAGCAGCTGTTGTTAAAGTGTTTAGAGACTGGACTGTCAGCCGAAAATCTGGGTCTGAACGTGCAAATTGTGGCCGTCAGTGTCAGCGACTAGTCAATGTTAGGGCAGAACGGAGAGTGGCGAGACTGGTACAAGACAACAGAAGGGCAACAGTGCAGTGTCACATTCCTCGCATCACCTTTCAACATCTCGTGGAGTCACGAGGCGGCCCAACAAAGTCATCTCGCTAAGTCATCTCGTGGCCCAACAAAGTACTGATGGGGTGGTCATAATCTGGCCACTCAGTGTATAATCCATGCAGGGAATATACTGTATGTACACACTGCTAACATTTACAGCAAGCTAATCTTTTCACAGGTATATAAAAAAAAAATTACAACACATATTCCTTTTAAAGAGGAACTATACCCAAATCTTTAAAAAAACAAAAAGGCATCTATAGAAATGTTTAGTAATGACAATCTACAAACACATACTTCTAGATAATTTTCTTTAATCATGGCTATTTTTTGTGACAGTGGCTATTTGAACTAAGGGCAGGTTACTAGAGCTTCCTGGAACTCTGGCACATGTGACTAGGACATGTGCTCATGCACATCATCTCAGGGGAGGAAAATGCCTTTCCCTGATTACAGGATGCAACTCTTGGGCACATTACATCATTTGTGCCAAAGTGGAAAAAAAGGATATTGTAAGTAAAATTAAAATATAGCAGAGATCTGCTCCATCAGCTTCTTTGCAGCTTCTGAAGCTGGAGAGTGACACAAGAATGCAGAAGTGATGTATTATACAACACTTCCGCATTCTTGCAGAGGAGAGGGACCGGAGGGAGCTCGTGTACCGAGCTCTACAGCCGGCGGATCGCATTTATATTAACGGGCATCGCTGCCCGTTTTTAAATTGCGGCCATTTCCCGCTCGTCTGGCGGCGCGCGCAAGGGGGCGTGTCTGAGCGGACGTCTAAAGACACCTTAAATTTAAGTCTTACAAAGTTAGCATTTGCTAGTTGTGCGAATACGAAGGGAAAGGTGTACTCACAGTTTCAGGGTCATTTAAAAACACGTCTAGCTCCTTGTACGTGAGAATGGTATAGCCCTTGCAAACCCTCCACAGCATCTTCTGAAACGATTCAAGTTTGGCACAGTGAACTAGGCCAGACACAAACCTGCCAAGAGAAAGAGTGAATTATTTTCTGTAAAGTGTAGTTCCTACTATGATCTCACTGTACTCATGGGTCTATGTAATAAACATAAGGTAAAAGCAACTTTCATCAAAACATTTTAAACAGAAAAAATAAGGTAGGGGTGTAAATCCAGTTTGCCATAATCCATCAGTTAGTAAAAGCCCCAAAAATGAGAGCCCCCACTTGACTATCCTATTAAAGCTGGACCAAGAAGGGATGGATACACAATTTTTACATCACTAGGAGCCACATTCTCCTAGTATTTTTGGTGTCGCCTGAGAAAGCTTTATACACACAGAGAATTATTTCTATACACAAAGCATGCCAACATTTCAGAATGTGTTGAACATCCTTTGTGCATCTGAAGCATGCTGCATTTCCAACAGCCATGATAAGGCGAGTAGACTGCAACATCTCAGCATGGGTATTTGATGACTAAGTTGCACTTAAAGGATAACAGTAATAGTTCAATATAGTAGCCCCTGTATGCTCCCCTAAGCTACCCTTTAAAGCCCAACTTTGTGCACCAACTCCCCTCCTTTTCCCGGCTGGAGCCCCCTTCCATTGCGGAGATGGTGGGGCTAGGACGCTCTGTACTTAGTCTTCCAGGTTGAGTAATGCTGGGCGTCATTTAACCCGAAAGACTGAGATCATCATGTGGCAATGAAGGGATACGGGGGGACAGCTCCTAAATGGTTTTACAACCAGCTGATTATTTATTATATTATAATATACATATAAAAATCTAGGGCTGCAACAACTAATCGATTAAATCGGTAATAATCGATGATGAGAATCGTTGGCAACGATGGGGGAAGGATAGAGAGAGATTTTTTAATGCAACCAATCGCTTAGTTGAAAAAAAATAATTGGGCAACATATCGATTATGAAAATAAACGTTAGCTGCAACCCTATAAAAATTTAGCTCCAAGTTGGGCTGTAATATATTTCAAAATACAACAGAGTTTAGATGGGGATGTAAAGTGGTGCTTTAGAGTTTGTGAACCATTTTGAAATTTCAATAGGAGTTAAAGCATGACCTGTTTTTCACACAGGAAACCGAGAACCCAATTAAAGTCAAAAAACATAATGCTTGTTCATTTTCTATTTTTGAAAGAAAATACAAAGATACTGTAGATATTTGTGCACGGAAAACTATCTGGTTTTCTATGCTGTGCCCCCCTTGGGCAGTAACTACTGCAACTAAACATTTCCGTTAATTGTTGATCAGTAAGCGCTGCACAATCAGCAAATAGATTTTAGCTCATACCTCCTTACTGAACAGCTTCAACTCAGGGGTGTTGGTGTGCTTCTTCACATAAACTGACAACTTCAAGTTCTTCCACAACATTTCTTTAGAATTAAGGTCAGGACTTTGATTTGGCCATTCCAAAACATTAATTGTCTTAGCCATTAACTAAGACATCACTTGTTTGTAATCTCTGCCCCTTGACCTACATTACCGACCTCATCTCAAAATAATCACCCAAACCGTGCTCTCCATTCCTCTTAAGAATTCCTCCCATACTCCCCTCCAGGACCTCTCCAGAATGTCCCCCATCCTCTGAAATTCCTTACAACAATCTGTCCGCTTATCTCCTACTCTGTCCACCTTCAGGCGATCCCTAAAAACTAATTTCTTCAGGGAAGCCTCTCTCATCTCAAACATAACTGCCCTTTTACTTCTTCCAATAACTCAATCTAAACAATTATTACCTTTTGTATCACTTGCCCCTCCTACTAGATTGTAAGGACTCTCATGAGCAGGGCCCTCCTAAGCCTATTGTTCTGAACTATGATTCTGTCATCACCATGTTTCCCAGAGATAAGGTTCTTATGTTGATATGCAGTGTTTACCTTTTGCCGCTAAAATCTTTTTATGGATAGTCTGGGTTTATTAAGGGTTTTAGAGCTTGTGAAGTGAGTAGAATAAACATCTGTTTAAAACATAGTGAAATGCCATTTCTGATAATATACATGGTACCTAGTGAAGATTCAGTAAAATGAATTTATAAAACGGACAATAGAACAATATGGTAAAGCTCAGGTTGTACATTGGAGTGGTATATTAATAGTGTATAGATAAAAATTTCAACGTTTAAAATGTGAAGGTTACCAACCCTCCTTGTGGTAATCAAAGGGTAGTAATCTAGGTTAAATGTGGACTTCGTGGGTGTTCGGTTTGGACATTGTATGCCACAAAGGGATGGAAAAAAAAGTATATAGGGAGTGGGAAAAGGTAAAGAAGAACGTGAGGTAGCAGTATATAGAGCGGGGTGAGGCAATGAGATGGGCGTATAGGTATGGGAGTGTAAGGCGTAAGGGGGATTAAGATAGTTCCTCAAATCTCTTCACTATGGCCAGTTGCGACTGGTGATATGTCACCCATTTCATCAAGAGATCTACGAGTTCCTGGGAGTGCCTAAAGATCATACAAGCTGCTCAAGTGTGGTAAATTGTTCCATGCTTTTGTGAGCTGCCACCGTCAATTGCTCCATTAGCATTATGGAATCCAGTTCAGTAACCCATTCAGACAGTGAGGGGATGCGAGGGGTTCGCCAATAGCGAGACATGAATGTTCTGGCTACAGTGAGAAAAAAATGGCAGATGTCTTTATTAATAAACTAAATGGTCTCGGATAGAAATAGAAAGAAGAGTGGTCTGAGGGGTGTTTTGTATCTGTGAGCCCGTCACCCTGCAATATAAAGAAAGAATGAGGTTCCACAACCATTTGATTGGTGTACATGCCCACGAAATGGGGGACTGCAAGATGCAGCTCTACCAGCACACACAGGGCATCTGTACCATCTAGTCATAATTTTCAAAGTCAAACTATAGTTTGGTCTCATCTATTCACAGAATAATTCTCAAATAGCTTTCTGACTTATCAATGTGGTCCTTAAACTAGCTGGACTGCAATGTTCTTTTTGGATTGTAGTGGTCGTCTCCTAGCAACCCTATTCACACCCTGTTGTTCAGTGTCCTTCTAATGGTGGACTCCTGAACACTGACATCTGCCAATGCAAGAGATTCCTTTAGTTCTTTAGACATTAGCCTGGGATTCTTTGAGATTTCCTACATCTTGCTCTTTGTGCAAACTTTGTTAGTCGACCATTTCTGGGCAGAGTAAAAACAGAATTGAATTGCCTCTATTTGTACATGATCTGCCTAACAGTGGATTTGTGGAGTCCAATCTTGCTAGAAATAGTTCCTTTTTCAGGCTAATATGCATGAAAGTTTTTTGGAGGTCTTCACAAATCTCCCTTGTTTGAGGCATGAAACATTTTCACAAACCTCTATTAAGTTCAGACTTGAATAGACTGTTCTTTAAAGAAGACAGGGTGCCCCACATTAACACCCGATTATGATCCTATTGATTGAAACACCCAATTCTAATATCACCTACATATGAACAGAGGGTCCTAGAAGCTCACCTAGTATTACCACACATAAATATGTAACTTGGATCATGTTTCTCAATAAACAAACACGTATATTGATTTCCACATTCAAAAAAAACTTAATTAAAATTTTAAGTACAAAATACAAGCATGACAGAAATCCAGTGAACAGAAAATAACAGTGTTTTAGTTGACAAACAGGTTTCGAAAGGCGAGACTAATGAACAGAATAACCGCTCATTGATACAAGGTAATGTGTGGTAACTAGGTAACCGTTCTAACACTCTAATACTGCTACACTACTCTCTTATCTATATATGTGGGAGAATTGGCCTGCAATAAAACAGGGATTAAAGTCTGGCAGTGCAAGTCCTTAATTAAAGGGAGAACTAAGAGGTGAGTGAAAATCACTGATCCTCATCGTTCGAGCCGACGTGTGACAATGAAACTGCCTCTAGATAGGCAGAGCCTGCTGTCACTCACGCAGCTGGGTGGTTCAACAGTAATTTCGGTATCAATCCCGGAAGCGGTGGTCTCGGTATACCGCGAGCTGTAGCTCGCGACATACTGGAGCTTTGGGTCACAGGAGGATGCTAGTATATGTCCTCCCGAGACCCTTAAGAGAACCATGGGGAAAAACATTTACCCCATAGTTCTCTTAAGTATTGACTTTTGTTAACCCTGATGAATGACGAGAATCCGTCATCTTAAAAGTATTTCAATGGGAGATACACCAAGAGTGCCATAGAACGTAGAGGATTTCTGGAAGCGAATTCAATTTGACTAGACCTGCTATACCCTTCATGGGAGTTTAGTCCAAGTTTGACAAGGGGGATCAATGTTCAAAAGAAAAAAAAACTCAGTGAGTTCTATTTAATAGAGCTAGTTCACAACAGAGGCAGAGAAACTTGATATGCACTTGGAGAAAAATGGTCTATGCTTAGAATTTGGGATTTACTCAAGTTAATTTTTATACCAGAAAACCTGCCGTAGTCCTCAATGGCCGGTAAAACAGCCTGCATCCTTGAAATATACACGTAGGTAATTTGCATAGAGTACAATTATTTCAGTAAATTCTATTTGTAGTCCCTTTGTTGCACGACTGGAAGTCGCCAGTGGTTCCACAATCAAGTCATAAAGCAACTGTGATAAAGGACAGCCTTGCCTCGTACTGTTGGCGGACACCCTAGCTGAGGGGTGCCCACTAGGTCGATCGCAAAGATATTTCTGGTAGATTGCGATTGCTAGTTCAATTTGGCTGCTCCGTTTATCTGGGTACGTCACCGGACTCCTCCCCCCTTACCCAAGTGGCTCCGTCGTCTAACGAAGGGAAGGTGGGAGGAGCCCGGTGACGATGTCCGTGAATTCACCGAACTCTTCCCCCCTTCGTTAGCCGACAGAGCCGGTGGTTTGCCCAGGAAACTTTCTGCATGAGCGCCAGCCAAGGCATTGGCCTATACACATACAGCACAGCAATGAAGTAATAAAATGAACTAGGATCACACTAATCCAGCATGTTATTATTCTGAGTTGCCCCACTCAAGCAGCGGCCATATTGAGTGGGGCATGTAGTTGGATCTGTATGTGCGTTATAATTAATCAAAATGAATCGATTAATCTATTCCATGCTGTAATCCACCTCCAGTAAACAAGTGACAAAAGATCCGCATACAGATTAGATGACCCCTTTTTACAGTGTGTTCATCGCATCGGACCTGCCATTCTTTGGTAGATCTCATTGAGCGGGTGATACAAAAAGTAGATCTTCGCACACAGAATTGTGGGCACCCCTGCCCTAGCTACAGGAACCTGGTACAATAATTGCAACCAATTGATAAAGTTTGGACCAATCCCATAGTTTCGTAGACATTGCTTTTACCTAGAAGCAAGTTAACTGCTGAAGCTCTGACATGAAGCAGGCAGCTGCTTATATCAAGTGTTCAGCTTACTAGTCAAGCTGCCTCCAATCTATACACCTGACAATCGGATGCTACTTGCCAAAGCAAATAGAGAGTGTCGGAAGAAAAAAAAAAAAGTAATTACATGAGTATAGAAGGCTTTGGCTGGCATTTAAAGGTACCGCGATTAAAGGTTATATATACAGGAAATTTCGTAGGTTTCACATACCTATAAACCGACAGCAGCAATAACAAGCAAAATACCAAAATTCCAAGCTTACGTCTCATTGACCTAAAAGCAGGAGGTTTTCATGATTATCAAGACTATTACAACTTACCCCAGTTTGGCTCCAAGCCTCTGCATACAAGTATAGTCCATTAAGGATTCCTTTTCCAAAGCAGGAAACTCCTCATAAATCGTAAGTGAAGAGGTTTCCTGCTAAAAAGGAACACAAACCTTAATGAGAATGAAGAATGCAAAATTTACAATTACTTAAAAGTGATCTCATTATGGCCAGTAATTAGGTTACTTTACAGGACACTGCTGTGTTTGCTCTTCAAAACAACCCTTCAACTGGCACTAGTCCACAACTCACTGTTATTCAGTTGTCACATGCCCGAATTTCAGTGGCCAGCAGAGTTTGTGATATCCGACAGCTGATTTGACAGGGAAAGGGCTTAGTGTAATGCTGGGGTGTCAAATAGCTGAGTAAAAGTCAAAATCACATGGTTCAACCTGTGTCTAGGATCAAAGGGGTGCCACATGGGTCCAAGGCTCAATTTGAGGACCAACTTGTACTTGCAGGCAACAAAAAGATCTTTTAGCCTGGTTTCAAATGCTGGTTGCTGTTTGATACTACACTTTGTACATCTTTACTGCTCTATGCACTGTTTTAGTGAATAAGCTGCAACTTTTCCTTAAAATGTACCTGAGGAGGAAGCCATTTTTAATTGATATTCAGCATCAGTTGTGTTGGTGCTCATGAAACACTGACACCACATTCTCTATATTATTACTGAACACAGGATGGTTAGCAACACAGAAGACTCTTACACTATTTTATATTAAACCAGTTAGAAACATTCTTGGACAACTACCTCTGATGATCTCTGCACAAAGCCCTTGGTTACTCGCAGCATTTGAGTATATTCGGTTAATTCCTGAAGGTTTTTTTGTAGCTTATCCTTGTTCTTATTTACTTCCCTCAATTCAGATTCTAGCTTCTGCAACTGTTCCTAGAAGACAGAGTTGGAGGCATGTTAAAGAAACCCTTAACTCAAATACAAAACAAAAAAGTTTCAGCTATGCATTTGTATACAACACTATCAGCCAATATTGTTACTAAAAACAGCAAAGCACTTTCTGAAAGCATGGCCCAAAGATGACTAGTCACAGCTGACCAGTGAAACAAAATATGGCACTCAACTAATTATCTGTTTGGGTGAACAGTGGGTTTTATATCCTTTCAGAAATACCCCTGGTATGGGTTGCCCAACTCTAGCCAATGGCCTGGTGCTAGAGATTCTCTACAGTAACAAAAGCACCAACCTAGGGAAGCCAAAATGCATGTCAATGAGAAAAAATATTAAAGCCATTGCATCAGCACAAGAGCCATGCAACCAGGTTTTTGAAATAGAGGTCAGTATTGTCAGGATACATTTCTCTCATGATAGGTTTGCTTTAAATACAGAAAAGGGAGACTGAAGTCACCAACCTAACTATGTCAGCTAGGGTTGTCTGGATAACAAGACTGAATATAGTATTATAACTTTGTCACTTAGGCAGTTTGCATATTTGCATAAACTGTGTATTTAGTAGGGATGCACCAGTGCCGATACCAAGTATTTGGGCGAGTACTCTTATTCGCCCAAATGCTCTCGTTACCTGAACTTAGGGTATCAGGAAGCCAGGAGACAAGTCATTACACGCCCCCAGCTTCCTTATTGGCCAGAAAACCGACTCAATGCTTCCTCGCCACCTGGTGACTTAGGAGCATGGAGCCGGCCTCCCAGCTAATCAGGAAGCTGGGCAGTGAATTACACGCTGCCCGGCTTCCTTAATGGGACTTCCCGTATCGGTATTAGGTGTTGGTGAGTACTGAAAAAAAATAATAATAGCAGTACAATATATAAAAACCGATATAGGTGCATCCCTAGTATTTAGCGCTTAGTCTGGAGTTCAGCTTTAAAAGAGTAGTTCCAGTTTCCCAGTAAATGTGGGAAACTGAATATGGCTGTGCCCCCTCACTGTAACCAGCGTATGGGACAGAGCATTGCAGCTCGGGACTCTGTATATGGAGTAATGCTTGCAAACGGCAAGCAGTCATTGGTCAGTGTGGTCACTCCATATACAGAGTACGGGCTGCAATGCTGTGTACGGTGTACTGGCTGCAGTGGGGCGACCGCTGGATCCTTCAAAATTATGACTACTGGGGGGGCATTTCAGTTTCCCACATTTGCAAGGAAACTGGAATTACCCTTAAAGGCAATATATTAGGGTCCATTCACGCAATCTGCGTTGGAGCTGTGCTGGCAGTTGTTTCCAGTGCAGCCCCAACGCAAGGCAATTTGCCTCATCATGGATGATGCACATTCCTACTGAAATGCGGTTGTGTGTGCTGGAGAAAAAAAAAAAAGCATGCCTTACTTTTTTCAAACCAGCGGGATGCGACGTAGTGCAACCGCCTTAAAACCCCGCTGTGACCGTAGAACTGAATGAAATGTCCCATTTAAATGAAGTACTAACAAAACAAAAAGTAGAAAGTGCGATGCGCTGGGATTAGCACTACGGCACTGTGCCAGGGCACCGCACACTAGATGCTGTGCAAATGAGCCCTTATGGTTTGCATTTACATTTTTGACTAAGGATTCCCAGAGCACTACGCAGAAGCTGCCTGCCTGAAATCCAAAACAGGATAAGTCACTTCCCTGAGCCATTTACTTCTGTGTTTGCTTGAGCTATTGAGTTCTACAAACTTGTTTTTTTTTATTTTTTTGAAAGAGTGGTAAAGAGAAACAGAAAAAAAAACTGAAAATAAACTTAGGAGCTCCACCTTCTGGCTAATAAAGTTGGTTAATAAAAATATAAAAGACAAGGCCATGTCAAGTAAATAGATACCAAACATGTCAAGCCCTAAAATTGTGTGCGCCTGTGCGATGGTACAACACTATGGCACTTAAAGTGTTACTGTTTATAGGCGACACTTTAAAATCCTTTAACGCTCATCAATTTAGAGTTAACAGTGAATTATGGCCTTGGGGTCATTGCTCTGATTCCGATGTTTGTGGCGATACCGAATGTGTGGCTCAATTGCTGTTTACATACACATGCTTGACCTACACACGTGCTTGCATTCGCATGTAGATACCACCGGGGGTTGCTGTAAAAATTTATTTTACATATTTTATTACTCTATACTTGAATTTTTTATTACGATCATCACAAGGGGGCTAACAGGTTCTCTGTCAGGGGCCTCAAAGTACCGGCCTGCAAGCCGGTATTATGTGGCCCGCAGCCAGCTGACAAGGACACATGGTCACGGTCATGCAGCGGCTGTCACCTGATCATTAACTCGAATGCGTGACAGTTGCCGCTTGTAACATGTGCAGACATTAACACTGGTACCATATATAGTCGCGGTCCCCACGGGACTAAAAAATTTGTCCAGTAGCCGCTAAGATCACTTGTACTTTAAAGCCCTCCGTCTGCTGAGAAAAATAAAAGAGAGGAGGAGCTGCAGGAGCAATGATCTTGTTATAAACACTTCAGGACCAAAGGATGTACCTGTATGCCCTGGTCTTGAAGTGGTTAAAGGAGAATTATGGGGAGATTGAAATACACTCATCCCCATAGACACTGAAGCTGTCACATGTCGGCTCCATTGATCAGGAACCGAGCGATCACATACTGCTGATCGCTCAGTTCCCGATCTTCTACCTGTAGAGAGCGGTAACTGTCAGTCACTGATGGACAGGAGAGGGGGTGGGGCAGCTGGCTCTAGAGAGACAGAGCCAGCTGCCAATCAGGCAGCAGAGTCCCTGCTTCAGTGTGGCTCTGCGCGGTCAGCAAATAGTGGACAATAGCCCGCTAAATGCTGAGTTTTGGGTCATAGGAGGACATTAGTAAATGTCCTCCCGTGACCCTAAAGAGAACATGGTTCTCTTTTAAAGTTCAGTAAAATACAGGAGTCACGCCTCTGTAATGCAGAAAATTCTAGTAAATCTTCAATTTATAACGGCTACATTAACTGCTGCCAAAAATTTACAAAATGTTACTGACACAAATAAATAATTTAATAGAATGTAAACAGCTTTCATTTAAACATCTCTTCAAAAACCATTTGCCTACCCGAAAGCTTGTTCAAAGCCTGCTGTCAGCAAACAGCTTGACTAATGCTGAACTCCAGGCAAAACCCAGATGAAATACACAGAATGGTTTTACCTGCCAAAGAATTTGTATTTCTGTTCATCCTGTTCCGAGTTTAACATTGCTCTACTACACACGACAGCCCTGTCTGACAGAGCAGTAGACCTAATTATTCTCTGCTGCAGTTATGGAACACTTGCATGCTTTCACCATCACCCAGCCTGTAACAGGACAGTACAAGGGGAAGCAGCAGACTAATGAGTTCACCTTGCCCGCCCCCTCCATCAGCATGCTCTGCACTGCAGCGCTACCAACTGGGTCCTTGTGCTGCTTCTCCCTTGCCCAGTCTGAGCTCTACTGTACAATAAATACAAAAGGCTGGCTTGAAAATACATTGCTATTACATTTTAGTCATTATTATGTTTAACCCCTATAATGCCTGTTAAGAGTGTGATGCATCAGTTTAATACAAGCAAAGACATTAGGCAGTTAAAAAACATAGATACCACACAGAAGCAGGAGTAATGTGATGTTCACCAAGGAGATGCAATATCTGGCAGCAAGCTATGCCAAAGTTCACCTAGGTCTTTACTTGCCATAGGTCCTGTAAAGATTACAAACAGTAAAACATACCTGTATTTCTAGCACGTGTTTTGGAAGTGGGGCTGCTGGCAACATATTTCCTTCTGGAACTGGAATGTCAGATTTCTTGATTTCCTGAACCAAATACCCTGTTCAGAAAATAAACAAGTGCATTTAAAGGTCGGAGAATAAACATAATGAATACAGTATATCTATAGTGAAAGTCCAATCCCTGAAAACTATAATAATAAAAGAACCAAATCCCAGCAAGTTTAATGATATAGAGCAGGGGCGCCCACTATTTTTCGTCTGGAGATCTACTTTTCAAATGATGAGCTCATTGAGATCTACCAACGAAAAAACACCTGCATTCAGGGGCGGGAGGGGGCGTGGCGGTGCATTGAAGTCAATGGCACCGCAGGCAGGCCCCTCGCCCACAGTGCGATCGCCTGCATTAGTGCCTGTGTTCCAGTCCAGTGCGATCCGCAAAAATGCTGCGAGCACTATTTTTGCAGATTGCACTGGACCGGAATGAAGGCACTAATGTGCCTGCGTTCCGAGTGCGGGCGATCGCACTGTGGGCGATGCCATTGACTTCAATACAGCTCCACACCCCCTCCCGCACCGGAACGCGGTGAGTCGGCCTGCTTACATT